TATTAAATGTTTACCAAACATTGGAATTGGCATTCCAACAATCTGTTGTTTTAATTAGATGTTATCGTTGAAATAGTAACGTTTACCATCTGATATTCAAGGTAGACTAGTTCTTGACTTTGAAAAGTGAAATCTTAAAGGTATCCAGTATCAAAGAGGGACTTATACTATGCATAACCACGTTATCGCAGATAACAACTCATGGACTATCTCCAGAAAATGTAATGAATTTGATAATCAAATTAAATGAAAAATAATTAAAACGCGGTCTGTTGTTTACGATAGTAGTACAAATAAAACATCGAACGATTTAAAACGCAAAATATATGACCTATAAACCTCATGTGACCACGGCTACTACCGAAACGTCGGATCATAGTTAAATAAGTGAATTGTAAAGTGTTTTATTTTATTATCTTTCTGAATTAAGACATATTGCGTCTTTTAATATTTTAGCATATAATCCCAACAGTGGGAATCCTTATAAGACTGAAGACGAAGATAAGCGATGAATGTATCATGGAGACATGTATTAGCATTGAATAAGTAAGTATCACTTTTCACCACCTTAGGCCTTAACCGCTCCCTAAGTTACGTTAAGGGCATTGACCTTTCGTTATTTGCAGTTATATTTTAAATAAATTAAAAATACCATTCGTTAACTTAAAGCTTCAAATATTACAATAAACAATGTATAGAAGAATTAACATATGGTATTACTGTCACCATATCGATTCAAATGTAAAAATGCTTGTTTAACATTGATACCGTAAATAACCCCTTAGACCTATTATTTATTCTGATATATAACACGTACGACAGTTAACACGTTTTTACTCGCGGTACAAACGAGTTTGAACCTTATCTTTTGTCAATAGAGTTTACATTGCTACGTACCTCGTTCTTTTGTTGCGATGCCTTATCAGCAATGACATGGGAATCAGTGATACCTAAATATCACCAACCCATAATAACGAGGTATATCGCTTGGTACTAATTACAGGAATACACGCCATAGATAACTATAGACTACTTAAATGGCATGTTCGAAGCGCGTGAGTGGAGTTGTCGTTAGTATGTAAAACCAAATTTTCTCTGTACATAACTGGAGAATGAATGTTTTAATATTTAGCGAAACGTCGGTTCGAAGTTAAAAATCATTTTCAAAAAAGTTTAACTAATATATCGCGTTTTAAACCGTTAAAGTGTTTTATTTAAATGTGTACTACAGGCGTAAAATATAGACAGTATGTTTTAATATTGTAGTTCTATTGTTTATTATTACCCATAAATATAACTTCATAATGAATTCCTTTACTAAAACGTTTTGTTACTCATTACATTGATGTAGTCACATATTAAAAGAACATAACTCTTAAGTATTTCTTATATGGTTAACATAAATTCTATAAACTTAACTTACTGTTCTATTTATACTGTGGCCATATAGATAAACATGGTTGTTTTCCTATCTATACAGAAAATGTTTTCGCTATTAAACAGTTCGTTTTCGATTTAAATCTTAGTCGATTTTGAGCAAATGGAAGTTACTTCAATATGACAACTTGGTAAATTATTAAAGCATTATTAGTAATTTTTGTTTAAACTTAAAGTTTTGACCGTTTTTAATTGGATAAAGTTTTTGGGTCACTCAATGCCCACCATAAACTTTGTATAACAGTAGCTTTAAGTGAAGCAATTAAAAACTAACGTAGTTAATATTTTTCTATAAATATAAAAAGTTGTATCGATCCGAGACAGCCCTATAAAAGTCCTGTTAGTACATGCTACGTTGAAACCCTCTCATCCATAATGTAGTAAATTAAACACGAGCCTCTAAAGACGTTTCGCTTTGTTTAGAGAAAACACATCAGCCCTCAAACGGAGCATTAGCGGTTGAAGTGAACCCGTGTTAGGGTTGCCACCTTTCCAATAAATTTTAATACTATCCATTTTAATTAGGTGATACGAATCACTGACATCGCTTTAATTCATTGTCTATTTATTTGAACGAAAATAATAATCAAATTAGTAAATAAGAAATAATCATACCTTCAAAAGAACTTGTAGAATCCCGACTGGGCTCAGTAGAGACGTAGAGAGTTCATCCATTTTTATTCTCATCCTTACCTATTTTTATTTATTTTACATATATGGGTCTTAAAAAGGTATCTTAAAGTAATCAATCCAAGATTTTACTGAAATTATAAAAAAAAAACCTGAATTCACCCATAATAGAGCTACATCGATAACCCTATACATTACAGTAGGTACTTGGCTATTATTTCTAACTCTACCCCAATATTTGACCAAATCTTTGGGCGTCCTTCCGACCTCTCCAGTCCCTTTAATCTTTTACCGCCAAAAGTTTAAGTATATATGATAAATAAACATGTTTTTATTTGTCATATCGGGTTAGAGTACGGTACAGGGCACTTTGAAGCATCATTGACGTCTTTTGTGCAAATATTGCGTTTCGAATTCGTCGGGTTCACTTAGAACTAAACATTAAATTAAATTATCTTTAGTCATGGATGTTTTTTTGAATTAATTTAATATAATATTAAGTTAAACAAATTGAAGCAAGGAAAAATTTAAATAACCTTGAATGTAGCTCGTACGTGTTCAATAAGTATCCAAGCCGTAAATAAATAAATTAGCTTAATAGGTACTTCTTCGAAGTACCCAGTAATCAAAGTATTGCCAATTTTCAATTATTGCTGTATGGTAATTTGACCTTTATGCAAATGTGTATAATTATCAATCTCGTAAAATACTAACGTAGATACTAGCCTCAATCTGATCCGATGCATTTGCATTGCGTAACATACTATATCAGCGCTATATCACGACTTGATAAAATAGTAATCAATAGGATTACGGGTATGCAGTGCGTGAAATAGATACCTTACAAACGGTAGTGACGTTAATAACAGTTATTCAGTAACAGTTCCCCAAATCACTGTGATTTGTTGTTACTATATCCTGTCGAATTTATAGTTTGAAAATAATATAGTCCGAACCTATGGTTTTTATCCAATCACTTAGTGTCTTGAAATTGTATTTATTAATAAAACAAAAGGTCATCGATGGGAATTGAATTACTCTTATATATTAACAAAAAATTAATTTGGAAAAATTCGTAACACATTTTTTTAATACACAATATGTTTGGTAGGTCGTCATCAATTGCGATTTGCAATTGGTTAAGGTAGATGAGGTCAGAAAAGCATGTGGTTCAGTGATAGAAAACACAGATAATAACCCCGCGCGAGATTTCTCATTAAAAAGTCACAGTGACAAGCTGTTTTTATAAAGCAACCGTTATTTATTATATTATAACGTATTAAGTTATTAATACATACCTAGATTGCGTTTTTGACGTGTAAGATTGACGCTGCATTTTGTAATAGAAAATTTATTCTAGAATTTTGCATGTTCTTTAAGTTTAATATTGTGTAATCGTGTATTTTACGCAACTCTAAAGTGTATACTTAACAGCGTATAACGTGCTGTTCGTATTTATACACCTTTTGAGTGTGTGTGATACATTTTTTATATGAATAAACTGCTGTAAAGCATTGTAATTAATTATAATAGTATAATTATGTATCACGATAAAGTAAGAACGATATTAAATTGTTAAAAAGTAGATTTTCCTCAAGATTTTTGTATTCTTTATTACACCTAGAATGAAGCGTGGTACACCTGGCTGTTTAAAAGAACAACAATAATTATATTACATAAACATCTGCTAGTTGTTACGTCAAGAGATCGTGGTAACTAGCTAATTGTGCTGGACTTAAAATATGAGACACACATCTATTCCATTATCTGAGGAAAATAAAATTACTGTGTACCTACTTACAGTATTTGAAGTTATTCGGAGAGCGGAATTACTTTAAAAAGTTTTTACTAGAAATAAAAATTATCTATGCATGTCTTACCTAAAACCGGAAATGAACTGACCGTATTAATAATTAATCTTTCACGTCATTTATAGAGCTGTCTATACGCATATATACGTTAAGAAGTTTAGATTATCTGATTATTACTTTTAACGGTTTCAAACGTGAAATATTTTAGTTAATTTATCTAGCCATGCTGGAAATCATGCGTAACTTCTGCAATAGTAACTAATGAAGTTTTTAATCAACGAAAATGTTTTGTCTCCTTCAAATTATCCAAAATACAATTCTAACACGCATACAACACATAGGTACTATTTCATCATATTATATCTTGCGATGAAACGAGAACTGGTTAACGTCGACAATTATTTATATTTATAACGTGTTTAATGTCCCTAAAAATTTAACAATAAACTTCGGTCCGCTCGAATGGTGTATTTTCACTTTTCTGATCGTATCATCGTCTACTTCAAAAGAGGTTATGTTTGGACATTATCGTAAAATAGCCTTTGTCATGAATAAAGATGTCATCCGCGCCTATTCAGTGGATTCGAATAAGAATAAATGGTTCAATTTGAAAATTCGAACGTTTATTCTTATTTCAAACTCAACGCCTCAAATTAGTCGTTTTGTTGTGATAAATGGTGTTGTTTATTTCTTCTATTACAGTGTGGTGAAAGACAAACCTTATTGCTTTGATCCCACTAATGCTAAGATTTATTCTACTTCAAGATTCCTAAATGAGTAGTCCTGTAGCTAAATGGTTGAATGTGCTGCCTAGCATTGCGTTAAGCGCGGGATGTCCCGGGTTCGAATCCCGGGTCATCCCGCGATAAACAATGAATTGTCTCGTTCGGGCAGGGCACAGAAGTCTGATAAACTACTTGCCTGTAAATATCAACCGATCAGTGAAACGGATGTTTTCGCCCTGTGCCCCACGAGGGGAAACGGGATTTTGCTCTCTTCACACAAGATTCCTAAAGCTTTCATATGAAGAAGAAAGATAAGCAGTATTTAATCTAAGAGGTGCACAAACATATTATTTTTTTTGAATTTAAAGGATATTACAACAGTTTTATTTTTTTGCAGTTGCTGGTCGGCAGTAGCGGGGCGGGAAACGGTGGAGCGGCAACATCACCAGACGGTGGTTCCAGTTCCGCTCCACCTCTATCGCCGGGTGGTTCTGGCGTCGTCGGGGGTGCTCTATCACCGGGAGCTGGCAGTCACGCCAGCACCCCTGCCGCATCTTGTTGCGACACTCCCCGGCCGATCATCACCGACCCGGTCTCAGGTCAAACAGTCTGTTCCTGCCAGTACGATGGTGCCCGGCTCGCCCTTTCATCGTACCCTCGACTGTCCAGTGCTGCGGTTGGTGTATACGGTGCCCCATATCCATCAACAGACCAAAATCCTTATCCAAGTATCGGCGTTGATAGCTCAGCATTCTACTCTCCATTGGTGAGTCAAGTTAATTTCATTTACAAAGGCGATACAGTAAACCATTCGAAAATTAAATGTTTCAAGATAGCTAGGGATGGCTCACATACAACTTTGTAACAGGTATTTTACGATACTAGTTACCTAATACTACGATTCCCAAGACTCGAGAGAAGAAAACTCGTAATATTCCGTAATATTATATTTTATCATGAGCCAAGCGCAAATGCTACAAATAAAATGAGTGCGGTGATATTAAGCTGTCATTTCCACATTAACTTATTCTACTTGCTATTTTTTACATAGTCTGGGAATAGGTGCGGACATAGTATTTAAGTACTTTAATCTGGTATTTGCACGTTTTAAAATACTTAGAACAGGTATATTTAGAATAGGCCGACGTTATATCACATCTCCATGACTAACGTGTTGCTTTAGTGTCCGAAGTAACTTTTATCGTTTTTTCCACCCGTTGTGGTTTTGGCGATAGCGTGGCGTGCCAGGCATCCAACCGGTCCGTGAGCGCCGGGCCAGAAAACTACCGACACCTCGAAACTTGCACAGCCGCCTCGCCACCAAACATTAATATTTAAACTTGAAAATTCCAAATACAACAGCTATTATTATGCCAATTACACTCGCGCGCAGCCTTGACCGCTTGCAACATGATGTCTTGCATTTACAGTAATAGGCAGGTTCTAAGTTTGTGGTTTCGAAGAGTTGCGTCGTTTAACACCTTGTGCGTAGACAGGGCAACAAATGAGCGGTCTCTTCAGCTCTAATCCTCAGAAGGGTCCCACTAGAGCCGAAGGTAAGAAATCTCGCGTCAAACGAGAAATATTGAAAACGGATTCCGCACAATACGAGGGTGATCAATTCAATTTGATTCGTTCTATAAGCTTATAACACGTCGCACATGTGAAAGACGCTAAGCCCAGAAAATCCGATCGAACGAAGATGATCCGGTTTTTGTCAAGTGTTACACGGAAGTCTCAATCTTTGTGAGCTGGAGTTCATTCATTGTAGATGAGATAAGAAGCAGAAATTATATGTATGAATAATATATGTGGTCGTCGACCTCTCGTAATTATAATATCGTGGTCAGTAATTGTGGATGAATCCCAAATCGTAAGATCTCTATCTGTCATTGCATTTAACGAGGTTCCTGAGTACCAACGCTCTGTGACCCTGTGCATGTTTAATAACAGGTGTTTAAATGTATGTATACTGTCATTGTGTGCTGTGTGCTCATACCTAACTCACGACAAGCCCGGCCGGTTCCGTGCAAGAGACAATTTAGCGAACAATGACGACGCTTCGCCACAAATATACTGTGTCTGACTTCATAAGTCTTCCCACCCGTTAGTGCGACACTCGACTTATTTGCGTCGTGTTAAGGTTGAATTTTGGATAGCACGATTATAAAACATTGCGAGTGAAAATATTCAACTGCCATTTTAGTATACGAGCGACTCCGGTGGCGCCGTCTGTCGGAACAGACTTAACAACAATGAGCAGCGCCATCTTTTATCTATTGTGTACTTTTGATAATCAATAAAACAGTTTTGTTTTTTGGCACGACTTTCATTGTGATTTCATTGAACTTTTAATTAATAAAAGCTTCATTCCTCATTAGTTTCATTAAGGTTGTATATGAGCTTTTTTGTCGATTTACCGCCTCCGAAGCTCTTAAACCTTTGGTACTAATAGCGAAAGTCCTGGGTTCCAATTTTACTTCTCAAAGCAGTTATAGATTCAATTGCCTCGTTTGTTTAGTGGTTAGTTCACTACAGTTGCTAATATCCCGGGTTCAAAACTCTGATCGGGTAAAACGTCACAACTATATGTTAGCCGTCGGCGCAGTTATCATCAACTTAGTGGTGTTACTCAAGCCCACCTATCCAGACCACCGGCTGGACCTTGTTAGAGATGGGTTAGGGCTCTAATAATCATACAAGAAAGGAAAACTGACTATTTCTCTGAACGGTGCTTTTATAGACAGAGTTAATCAGACTTCTGTGCCCCGCCTGACCATAACAATTTATTATTTACCCTAAGTTTTTAACCCAGGACCTCTCGTGCTTAACGCAAAGCTAGGCAACGTGTTAACCATCTGGCTACAGAAGCGGTCTGATGTATTTCGACATATATACATAATAAATAATTTCGGCTGGGCAAGGCAGATATAAATTACATTTTGAAGACATAATACCGTTTAGGGATTTTTCATGTTTACGTACTTAGTAGCTTTAGTGGTTCCTAATGAGAATTAAATAATTCGAACACTATGATGTTACGTCTAAATATACATAATTCAGTTGGTTACAGTTTTCAGTCCGCAAAGACTATAAAATCTATCACCAAATCGTGGTAGAGCAGATGTTTTCGATTCACCGTCCTCTCATTACAAACGGAAATCTTTGAAACTTAACTCCATTGATGGACATATAACTATCTTTAACATAAATAATAAAGTTCTTGCCACCTCTATAACTTAACGGTTAATTGTGTCGCTTAATAATATATTAAATAGCGTTAAGCGCAACGGTTCGAATCCCGGGAAATAATAATTTAGACTTAGAATTATCCTAGTCACGGATCAACGTGCGCAGATGAAAATGTCCTCAAGTTTAATCGCGCTGGGGTTTCAGTCTGTGGATTGCCAATATGGATCGACAGCAGATCTTTTTTAGTCATAATATAGTATAGGAATGTCTCCTACCATCAACTAAACTCCATGCTATTTCATGAGATATAAAAAAAATACGTTGTTTTCAGCTTTTAGGATTTGTGATAAGTTCTATATATATCTTACTAATTAGAAAATTCTGGTTACTTAAACAAACAATATATATTTTTTTTTTTTTTTTTTTTTTTTTTTTTTTTTATATATATATATATATATATATATATTCGCCAGAAGAACTTTTCTCGATGTTTACGTAAACTAAAAAATAGTAAACTCCACTGCACGTCTACGATTTTGAATATCGAAATTGAGTCCGTAGATTAAGAGCCGTGAAAGTCAAAGCACAAATACAAATGTATTCTTCTTGATCAGAAAGACACTCCATTACCATCCCCGTCAATAAAAAGAGTCGATAAAGCCCCATTTAAAAATCAAATCGAATAGAAAACTTAAACTCATTTCATTATCACGCCTTGACTAAATTAAATACACGATAAGGGAACGCGACGTAACGAAACGGACCGATCGTAACAAAACACCAATTTAAATACGTCACTAATCTCATGTCAAAGAGAATAAGTTTAGAAAGAGTCGACCAGAAATTCAATTAGAGAGCGCCCGAGCAACACGGCGAGCGCGCAACGGCGGCCAGCGGAAAAGAGATGAATAAGACTAAATAAAAGTGAAGCGAAATCAGGCGAATTGAAAATTAAGGTGTTAATGAGGGCCTTATTAAGCCGTCTCCCGGTGGGTGGTCCGTCTTTAGCCGTTTTGTTCATTAATCAACAGATCAAGTCGGGTCTAATTATCGGATTAAGAAAAACAATAGTTTTAGACCGGCCATTTGGGTTCAACGCTATACCCGTTCTACTTGATGTGTTATATAATATTTTTATAATAGAGAACGGACAGCTATGGAGTTTTTTAGAGAGAATTACCTTAGCCAAGTCAAGCGAATGCGTTGTCCATCTATTTCGGCTTCGGATATTCGAAAATCCACAGACTGACTTCAGGGCTTTTATTTGTGGGCGGGGGTTCGTAACCCGAATGGAATCTTCCATCTTCCTACTATCTTGTATAAATGTATGGTGGGTTATTTCATCTTTCTTCAAAAGACTTACTTAAATTTAAAAAAAATAATAATTTGAGTATTACATACATTGCAAATGAATACATGTTTGAAAACATTAATATTTTTCATGCACATGAAGGCACTATATAATTTAAAAATATACTATACAATTTATTTTCGATTTTTAAATTAATGAATACATGTTTAACATAGAGAGGATTTTTATTTACTTGTTAGTAAATGAATGAATTATAAAGTGCTGTTGATCGTTTTAAAATGTTAATAAATTGATCTAATTTATTGGTTGTGCTTATAAACAATAATATAATCAGGAATTTGACGGATGCGTATAAAAACAAGTAGATAGTATTAAAAAAAATATTAGCGGGTTAGCTTACATACTAAATCAATTTTTATCTTATTATGATTATTTTATTTTTATAATATCTGACAAATTTAACAGCTTTAATTAAAAACAAAAGTAAAAACTAGTAGTTTTATAAATAAGACGATACGAAGGATAATACTTAGTAATTTTTGTATGTAGACACTAAGTGTGAGGACCAATCAATATATATTTTTTAATTTTTAGATTTTTGTTGAAAAAAATATTTTTACCAAGAAAAAAGTAACAGCCAGAAAATACAAAACAGGAATCGAACCTTCTAACTTAATTGTATTAGGTATGTTATTTATATATATCACCGACCTTGCGCCCTGACTGTTTATATTTTAAGTCTCTAATTAAATTCAATGGTTTCTTGACATGTTTACGTGTTAAAGTATAATTTATACTTCGTATGTATGTATTAGTTACGACACTTACGCGTCGGTCAGTGAGAAAGTAAATGACATTGAAAATTGTGGTTATTTGAAAATGTTACGGTTGGACGTGAAAGTAAAAATGGAGTGAATAATATATGTACATATATGTATAATTATAGCCTACAATACATTACACTAATTTTCTACTATAATACTTTTAAAGTTAGATACAAATTAAATAAAGTCATTTTAACACTGAGCTTTGTAACTGGTGAAATGTCCACGATACTAATATTATAAACCTGTAGAATTTGTTTGTTTGTTAAAACGCGCTAATCTCGGGAACTACTAGTTTAATTTTTTTTTGTGTTGGTAGAACCATTTATCGGTGAAGGTTTTGGGCTAGAAAGTGGGCTGTGATCAACAGAAACGGTGGGAAATGTGGGAAAACTGGGAAAATTATTCATCTTTGCGGGACTCAGTTGCGTGCGCTGC